CAAACGGCTTAAGAGAAAAATAAAAAAGTAAAGGCAGATGCTGGAAAGAGCTCTTAGACCAGATTGATAACGACCCATGGGGCATGGCTTATAAGATAGTAAATAAGAAATTCACGATGGACAGGAAGATACCTGGTTTGAATGATCCTCAATGGATGACGAAAGCCATTAGGGACCTCTTTCCCACTAGAGATCCCTGGACGAGACAAAGACAGAGCGACTTCACGGTTGACGCAGCAGACGAACTGAGGAGAGCGGCGAAAAGCATGAAAACTGGGAAGGTCCCAGGTTTCGATGAAATCCCCTGTGAAAAACTAAAAATAGTGGCACAGGAGTATCCGGAATGCATTTTGTCAATCTCCATCCGCTGCCTCGAGGAGGGGAATTTCTTCGAGACGTGGATGAGTCAAAAGTTGATACTCCTCCGAAAGGGCAACAAGCCGGTAGATCAGACGTCATCATACATACCACTGTGCCTCCTTGATACCATGGGCAAGCTGCATGAGGGTTTAATACCTTTCTAGGCTTGATATGCTAAGGTACATATGCTTTTCTCACAGGAGAGGCCGCTCGACGACGGATGTCATCCTGGAAGTAATCGATAAAGCAGACGCAGCCAGAAGAGGATGAGATTCTGGGCGCTCGAGGCAATTGACATTAGAAACGCCTTCAACTCCGCTAGGTGGAAGGACATTATAAAAGTGTTAGCTAACAAGATGATTCCGTAATATCTTATAAGGATTATTGAAGACTGCCTCTATGAAAGGACGATAACTTATGTGGACAGTATCAGGATAGAAGAGCATGTGACGTGCGGTGTTCCTCAAGGGTCCAGACTTAGGCCATTTTTTGGAAAGTCCTGTATGATGACATTCTAAGCATTGGCATACCGAAAAATACGCAGTTCATAGGCTATGCTGATGATACGCAGTAATAAACCACGGCGATGTCATTAAACTCCTCGAATTGAGAGTGAACGAAGCGCTATTTAGGGTTAAAGGATGGTTAGATAGACGACAGCTACAGATGGCAGTGCAAATAACCGAAGCTGCCTTAATCACCATTGAAGAGCCTTTCACTATCCAGACCTCCGATTGGAAGGGGAGAGAATCAACTGGAAACGCCAGATAGGATATTTAGGAGTCGAAATAGACCATAGACTCGCGCGCGACGATGGTTTAACGGTTAGCGTTATACCCAAGTTGGCGGGTTCAAACCCGATCGAAGGCGTGGATTTTTAAGGGCGAAAAATTCCTTCGTACGCCTTCCTTCAGAGGGGAAGTAAAGCCGGCTGGCCCGTGTTAGTAGATTTACTTGCTTGTAAAAGATCCTCAAGCCTAAATGACGCGTCTGAGCTAAATTAAAATCGTCTGTTTCTCGCCCAAGAAACCCCTCCTTTCTGCTAGTTGGTGAAAGGAGCGTAGCGAAATGTGGTTAGGCGGAAGAGTAGGCCTCATGCCCTGAGTCTCGCCACGTAAAATAAGGCTTCAATTCAATAGACTCAGCTTCGGGCCCCATATAAATATGATGGCAGAGAAGGCGGCGAGGACAGGAGCTAACATCGCAAGAATGCTACCGAGCGTCGGTGGACCGAGAGAAGCCAAGAGAAGAATGATATTTGGCATAGTTCACTCACAGTTGTTGTATGCTGCTCCAGTCTGGGCGGGTTCGCTGGAGAAGCAGTCTACCAGACACAAGTACGCCCAAGTTCAAAAACGGATGGACTAATCGGTTGATTACTAACATCGAGAGATGGGTGAGCCGAAGATTTGGGAAGATGAGTTCTTACCGGTCCCAAGCTCTTACGGGACATGGAGATTTTAATAAATACCTCTACGATTATAGGATCGCAGAGAGGCCCACATGCAGTCTCTGTCACGCAGACATAGATGAGGTAGAACACACACTATTCCAGTGCAAGGCATGGCACGCGGAACGAGAGGTTGGTAATGTCAACCTCCAACAGGTTATAAATCCAGACAACATGGTCGATATGATGCTGAGTTCGCAGAAAAAAGGAAAACAATAAAGAACTTCATAGTTAGTATTATGAAGAAAGAATCAAGACTGAGGAAGTAGAGCATCTGCTACCAACCAATCCTCTACGTGAAGTAGTGTCTAACGACGGTTTTCGCGTGGGAGAGAATACGGTTTAAGAGACGGAGGTTTGGTTTTTAGTCGGTAACCCAGTTGGAAGTTCCGACATCTGCTCCACTGGTATCCATAATGGATTTTCCTCCTCAATAATAATAATAATAATAATAATAATAATAATAATAATAATAATAATAATAATAATATTGGTATGACAGAATTGCGTTCTAGAATGACTGAAAATGAAACGGGTAGGCTTAGAATGCAACGAGTTCGAGCACATCAAACACATCAACGAGCACACAACGAGATTGAACGATTCCGCAGACGCAGTGCTCCTGGAACGAGCAGCATATTTCTACGATCCGGAAGTAAATTATAGCGCCAGCAAATAAGTAACATTTGGGAAAATGAAAATCATTGGTCATTGTAATTTTTCGGTTTAGTAGAACAGAAATATTATTTCGAGAATAATCAAGAACAGTAAGTCGTTCTAAATGGCAATTTTCTTTGAACAAATTTTATCTGTTTTTACGAAAATGGCGTTTAAGAGCTATTGTAATTTCGAATTTTGAACATCTTTTAACATGAAACTATTGTGTTTTCGAAAATCTTCATTAGAAGTCATTTCAAGCTCCTTCGATGACAAATGCATTAGTGTTTACAAATAGCTGTAGAAAAATTGAGTGTCGAAAAATTTGGAGCCGTTTTTGAAAATATGTAGGAGCGCTTCTGAAATTGCGGAATATTTAGCGAGTTTTCACACAAAGCAATTGAGGTTTTGAGAAACTTTATATGACATTATTTAAAGCAGGTGTGCTCATAAATATAATAATGTGAGCTAATTTCCGCTAATATAAATTTAAGCGACGTGTAAGCCAAGTCAAAAAATTACATTTTTGTAAATTTTGAAAAAACAAAAAAATAGATCAGAATAGCGTTTATGTCTTCTTATATAGTGCATTTAGCACTATTCCTACTAAAAAATCAAGAGCCAGTTTTGAGAAAATCTAATTTTTGTAATTTTTAAAATTGCACAAATTGCTCGAATTATTGCGCAAAAACTACTAAATTTTTTAAAAAAATGTGCATTACCTCAATGAAGAAACTCACTGTGGAGAACACATATTATTTGAAGGAAAAATCTCTATCTTTAATTTTGTAGTTGTAGGAAAATGCGGAAAAATCCAAACTTTTGAAATTTTCGAAACTGAGAGATAACCGTGATAGTCGGATATGCCACCTTCATATGTGTATTTTAATATATTATTCCAAGAAATTTAAAGAAATAATTAGTAGGCGTTTTTGAGAAAAATTTGAAAAAGTATGAGAGGCTTAATGTAAAGTACTCCCAAATTTTAAAGAATATTTTTCAAAATCTCAATGCTTCGACTCGAGCCAGAAGGGCAGGGGTTTATTCAATTTGGAAAAAAGCCTACACATGGTTTAGCCGTTAGTAGTGTTCACAGACAGACAGACAGACAGACGGACGTTTTGAAAAAAGCATTTTTTCGGTAACTTGGAACCCCAAAACCTGTAATTCTGTTGAAATCTAGAAATCGATTTTCCGTAGCATTACATAACTTTCCCTATACTGTGTATATTTCTTCGTATATTTGTACGTATACGGGAAAGTAAAAAGTAACATTTATTAACAATAATAAAAATGACAACACAAATTTAACACAACAATTTGTAACTAATTTGTATTTGAAGTTTATAAGAATTTGTAATTAAAGAATTCAATACCAAAAGTCCTTTAAACACTCTGTATTCTGTCTATACTTCCAGACGTATATCTCTCGTCCATACTTCAAAACGTCAAACTTTCATTTTTACTCCGAGACGTCTTCCTTCGTACTCTAATACGTATATCTTTGTTTAATATTTTTTCTGATTTTTTTTTTAAATTTTGGTATGTACCATTCGCACGTACACTATTTGTTTCTCTTTGTACAGCCCTGATTTTTGGAATATAAACACGGAAATAACTTTTATCCTAGAGTCTAAAATTAGCCTTAAATATTCGATAGGGTTTCATATTTTTTCCAAGAATTTTTTATTTTAATGATTATTCGCTCATAAGAACCAATGTTAATTGTGCTCTTTGTACAGCCCCGATTTTTTTAGTATAAATGCGGTAATAACGTTTTTCCTAGAGCCTCAAATTTGCCTTAAATTTTGGGTAGGGTTTCATATTTTTTTCTAATTTTTATTTTAATTTGGGTGTTTATTTGCCTATAAGAACCAATGCTAATTGTTTCTCTCTGTGCAGCCCTGATTTTTGGGATATAAATGCAAGAATCATTTTTATCTTAGAGCTTCAAACTAGCCTTAAATTTGGTTGTGGTTTCATATTTTTTAATTTATTTTTAGATGGATTTTCTAGGTGGGTGCTGCAAGCTTTAGTCGAAAGTTTGCAGCGCCCTCGATTTTGGGAAATACAAAAGATCCTAAATGTTGCGAATAGAACATTTAATTACTACAAATTAACCTAAAATTTTAGATATAGTTTGATTGAAATTGTATTTTGGACTAGCTAGCTTAAAATGGCTCACAACACGTGCTCATTTGAAAAGACAGACCAGACGGTGGCCGGCATGTTGCATGGAAAGCGAGAAGGGTTGAGAAACATTTTGAAAGTGGTACCAAGCGACATTTTTCAAGGATAAAGAAGAAAAATTAACATGATGAAGAGATGCAATATTTAAAATAAATGCTTCATAAATATGTTTCAATGTCTTGTAACGATATTTTTTCTGACTGGCTGTATTTAAACTTCCCGCTAATATTGTGACGCAAACTGGTGTCTGAAGCTCAGTGGCGAAAGTCGGATACGAGGCGTAAAAGCCACCCATGGTTGAGAGGGCAGCACTGAGCTACGATATGTTGGTTGCGAGTCGTGTCTCCCCCCATGTGCCCCCTTATGCAATGTGCAATTGCTGTGTGCCGGCATGTGCAGCAGATGCATCAAAATGCACTAGATACAGCTGCATTGCACAGTGTTATTTTGTTCGGTGTCTTCAAAAAATATTTGTGCGTTTCATTTAATTGCACCAATCGCAAGCTCTTGTGTGCATTGGAACTTACGAAAGATGTTTCAATGTCAGGGAAACAGCTTCACTTTTCAATTACTTATAGCTGTGTGTATGATTTTTCATTAACCTCAAAAACTTGAAGTGACAGATCGCAAGAATCAGAAGCGTACAAAGGTTTCGAGTTAAATTTATTCGTCTTGAACTGATGGTGATCGCCTTGCTTTTATTATAATATAAAAGTTGTATATTTCTAACGAAAGGAAGAGGATGGCTTTGCGGGAACTTCAAATGTAAATGCTGTGTTATTTGTGCAGTACTGCAAACGATCGCCTGAGTATTACATTTGATTGCAGCGTATCGGAATGTAATGAAAATGTATTCATAAGAATACTGTGGTTACACATCAAAACTACGTATAAATTGTGTTATTGCAGAATACAGACATAAAATAGTCATGGATAATCAACACCTTAGTTATGAGAGTATTTCAGATGTCGATGTAAGTTTGTATTTTGTAATTTTAATTACCCACCTCTATCAGGATGCAAATTGGCAAGGAAGATGCCAAGGATCTCCCCCTCCCCCTTAGTGCTAAAGTATTGGATGCTCCCTGCCAAAGTGTTAATATTTCTTTGCTAGAAATAAAATTAATACATATTTAGTTATGGCATCTATGATATACACTCTGGAGTGTTCAAATGAAGGAATATATATATTACAGAAATTGGATAAGGAAACATTCATAAAGAGTATCATTAGGAATGATTGTATTCCAGAAGCGAATATGATTTTCTTGTGACCATTGACCTTCACCCCCAATCTTTGATCATTTATTCCTTCCTGTGCAGAAAACTGCCAATTCGCAACCTGACTTCTGTCATTTGTATTACTATTGAAAAGAAAAATTGGATAAAAGTAGAGCCAAAACAAAGACAGTTTCCTATTTCTTATATTAAAATAGATTTTTTTTTATTATTATTACTACTGTTATTTTAATTTGCAGATCAAAGAGGAACTTGTTGAAAGTGACGATGAAATGCCTTGGAATATTGATGTAAGTTGTTGTATTTTAATGTACTTATTTTTGCCTGTTTTATTGAATTGTGGTTATTATGATTGAACTGATTAACCGACCTTCAGCAGTTCTATTTCTTGTTCTATTTTATGTTCAACCATTCATTGGTGTAATGTTTCTGATTTATTAGTTTAATGTCAAATTTTGTTCACATTTCCAGTTAACTCATTAATGCACAAATTATAAATCTGTTTTTAATTTTAATATTTTTAAAGTAAATGGGCTCTACAACAAGTGAATGTGAAGGTTTTTTGAAATTAACATTTTTCATTTTCAAAATATTTGCTGACACCATGTGGTATCTCTGATTGTTTTGAGTTAAACATGATTTCATTTAGAACCTTTTGTTCAAATTGAATTAGAAGAACTAAAAGGAGATAAACAATAATATAAATTCAGTATATAATGTATTACAAGGTATGAAATTTTTTGAAACTCATAGCATGTAGCTGTTTTCATAGCCCACTAAGCACTCTTTGCCAGTAATTTTAGCCCTGTCTTGAAACCACCAACTCTTATTGTCTCTTTCAATATGGTAATTCTGGTTCTATTGCTAACAAAGGACATACGCTTGGCAGTTGGGCATTTTCCTCAGCATCTGAAAGTGTGTATTCTATGCAGCAATTATTTTTATTTTAATTTCTGGTGCTGTGTCTAGTTGCCATCCCAGAAGATTGGAAATTGACCCCCCCCCCCAAAAAAAAATTCAAGCTAAGACAAGACTTCTTGTTTTAAACTGCCCAACAACTCTTTTGCTACTATTGCAGTACCCCTTCAGAAATGAAAATATTTCATTTGATTTTTGAAATATTACCATTTTGCATTTTTAATATTGAGTAGTGAATTATTTGTAGATACCAACAGTTGGTGGCCAAATTATTAGGGACTGTACTCATATCTGTGAAATTCTAGTTTAAATTATTTTTTTGAGTGAACGATTAAGTTTTGATAAGATTTGTTGTATTACTGTTTTTAATAAGATACACCACTGTATGCTTGAAGTATTTAAGAAATAAGTGATGTTACTTCTCATTTGGTTGAAGTTTATTTTAAACTGCTGCTGTAGTGAGGACGTTCCAATACATTTTAATTGAGTTTTCAAGTTTTTCCTTTCCAAAATAATCAAAATGTAAGTATTGTTTCTTACTGCATTACATTTACCTAATTGTATGAGTGAATTTCATTTCAATTTAGAATGTAACATCACAAAGTCTAAGTTTTTATTTTTAAGTATCGTAAAGCTTCAGACACATCTCCATGGAAAAGTAGAGATATAAAACACTATTACTTTACTATACGTATTCACAGAGAGATATAGCAACTATTATAGGTGATTGAAGAACAGTTGTTAACAGAATAAAAATAAAATTTGATCAGAACAAACCCTTGAATCAGGCTGTATGGATAAAATGGCAGGAAAAGGATCATCAGTCTTCGTACCAATCAGAGAATCAGGAATATCTGCCTCAAAAATTGTTAAGAGTATTGCAATGATAAACGACAGTTTTCGAAAGGACAGTCCAGAGACAGTTAGCAGAAGAGAAACTGATCGGTCGTTAAGCTATCAAAAAACCATGCCAGACCCAGGCCATGAAGAAGAAGTGGTTGCAGTGGGCCAGACAATACTGAAATCTGACTGTTGCAGACTGGAGTCAAGTAACACAACCTTTTTGTGTATTTAAAACAGTAGTGCATTTAATCAATATTATTTTTTGTAATATTTTAGAGGTATGTTCTCTGACAAATTGTTTCAGATTTTGATTGATTAAAGTTAATTTGTCCAACGATGCCCTGAGGTTCAGTTCCATGCAAGACCACAAGTCAGTACTAGAGACTCTGCTTCTGTCACAGCTCAAAGCTCAGAGAATGGTTCCCTAGTAATGAAGAACACATTTTTATACAGGGTTCATCACTGTGCCACAAAGCCAGGAGTATTACTGCATGCCTGGAACAAAAATATTCCAAATATTGCCCTGGCCGGGAAACTCGGCAGACATGAACCCTGTAGAGAACTCATGTGGGAGTCTATGATGGGAACTCGCCAGATGACCAAACGCCAAGCAAGAGATGACCACTAAGACCAAGTTAATTGAAATTCTCAAACAAAGAATAGCATCACAACATGGAATTGCAACAAAATGTGAAAATCTGCATAGAGAGCATGACGAAATGCATTGAAGCTATAGTTGCATAGTGGAGTCACTAAATACTAGTATTAATTTTACCAAAAAAAGTTTTACCTAAATATCTTATTGCTTTTATGATTTCAATAATACACTCTAATGAATAAGAAGTTCCTATGTGACCAAAAACCAATAATTTGTTTGAAAAATGCAGCTTAACTATAAAGCACAAAAATCTGAGTGCTGTCCCTAAACATTTTGCCATCTACTGTATTTTGTTACAAAACTAAAAATGTTGTGTAAAATTAATGACAGGCCAAAAAAATATAGTATTTGATGGCAAATATATATGTATGTATGGATGAAGTGGCAATTAAACTTAATAATAATTTGGTTGCGGTATAAGAACATGAATGTAGAACATGCCTATTACGATGGTTTAGAATGTGACAATGTTTTCAAGCCTTCATGTAAGGAACCTTCAAAAATCAGAATATCCATTTAAAACTGCTAAAGCCTCGAGTTTGTTTAGATCAATCGGAGAATATCAATTTTGGAGAAAAGTCGCCGAACAATTTAGACACTCATGATGACCATGACAGACACGGTTTGTCTTCAATTGATTAGTCGGTATCAAGGACCCACAAAACATGGGATTATGGCTGAATCCAGAGAAAACCAGGAGCCCTTCATTTCAAACAAATCGTCCTCTCCTCTCTCAATTCATAAACCAAATTCATTTCTCCATGCATTCAAAATGACTTAGTGTTAAATGTGGGTTAGAAGTGAACATGCTTTTTGTTACTTTTGAATGAAAAGAAATTGGGACCCCAATTAAGTCAGGGGCCTGGGCCAACTCCCTCCCCCTCTCCCTGTTTTGGTCACCCTGACTGTTTTGTTACCAGGGCCAGGCAATAAGAGTTTTTCTGCTGAAAATTCACGGTTTTCTGGCATACGATTATCTACATCCTCTTCTTATGAAATGAATGCTAGAAAGTAAAAATTGAATATATGAAATGTATACCATTGAATATTGTTGAAGAATTAATATGTTGTATAAAGGTGGTAAATCACTTTATAATGTTATAAATATAATTTATTAAATTGTTTAAGTTGGTAAATCATCTTATTTTGTTAAATAATTATTGCATTTCTCTCTCTTTCTGTTCCCTCTCTATCTGTCTCTCCTTCTCTCTGTAAACAAAACATGTCATTATTTTTCAATGAAGCTATTTATATATTAATAAACAAACATGGTTAAAAATTTCTCTGTCTACAAAGTTGAACAATATCTGTTTAAATTTTCAGACTGAATGCAGTGTTGAAGAGTCTGCTATCAAAAGGCAGAGGCTAAACAGTTCCAATGAAGAAGAAGAAGAAGAAAGCTGTATGGATGAGGTGTGTTTATATTTTTATTTTATTTTTGGTCCTTGTCAGTAGATCCCGGAACTTCATGGACTAAAGAAGTTTAAAACATGTATGCAACCTTGCACTTTAAATTGCCAATTTATTCCAAAATAGCCAATATATCTGCTTAAAATTAAGAATATGCATTAAACAAAAACATAGCAACAACCTACACTTTACACTGTAAACATCATTTTACACTGTAATACAAAACCTGTATAATAAAAATATATTTTCAAACATTGTAAAAAGCAAAAAAAAATAAAAAATTAAACAATAAGAGAGAGAAGAAATAACATTGTTACAAGATGCTTTAACATTCAGCTCTGTTTACCAAGTTCATTTGCTGTAGTTATTATGCCGAAAATTTTTCTACTGAAAGACATCTCTTTTTGTTGTGTAGAACTAATTTGACTTCAGAGTACATTCTCTCCATGTTACAAGAAGTGAGTAATGCATATTTAAACAAAGGTACATTTTTAACATTTGTTACTGCTTCATATATTTTCACAAGAATATGAGCATCATCTTTTATTATTTATATCCAGCAAAGATCATTTAGGATGCAATACATGTTTCCAGCCACTCTCTTACCTCTGGAACTGCAGTTCTGTTTTTTTCCACATTCTGCACAATTTCTTGTGATGAAATTAAGGGGTTACCTGCAGTCTGCAAGGAAGTGATGCTACGTTGGAAAATAGAAAAGTGAGCAGATGCATAGGACATTTCATTTTGGATACTTTCTTCGCCCAGAGTTTGCTGTGAGTTTTCAATACTAAAACTTTCACTTGGATCTAATTCTGCTAAGAACTATCTGATGTGCAAAGAATGCTCAGATAGTTGAAATGATGATAGAAATCTACTGCTTTCAAGTATGTGAGCACCGAATCTACCCCATCTCGTGAGCACTAGTCTTGGGGAAAGAGACATGCCAGAAAATTTTACTTTACAGAGTTGAGCTCTCTGAAGAATGAAATAGAGAGAGAGATCCCCACTTTCACCTTGATCCTGACGTTTAATCTTCTTGCTCTTCCAGAGAGGATTAGTTGTGGGTTTTATAATCTCCATGTGCGGCAGTATGTGCCAAACCCCTGCGGTGCTTCAAGTATCAGAGGTTCGGCCATATCCAACAACGGCACATGTCCGTAAGCCCTGTTTCCGCTAAGTCGGCAAATTCACGACCGATGGATCCGTTCACCACTTCGCTGTGTTAACCTCACCACTTCGCTGTGTTAACTGGAGACAATGCGGCCAACTCTAACAAGTGCCCTGCATATCTGAGGGAGAGAAAGATTCAAAAGATCCAAGTGACAGAGAAAATGTCTTTTTTCTGAAGCGAAACGCCTATACCTGGTGAAGAACCTGGTGTAGATCTCGGGCGTTCGTTCTCTAGTACTCTGAGACGGTGAAAGCAACAGCGAGTTGTCAGACATAACCTGCTACTCCCCCAGTTTTTCACTTCTGTTGCCAGGCGTCTCCAGTGGACTTCCCGGAGGAGACATCGCCTCTGCAAGATGGGAAAATAACCCTCTCCAAATATAAAATACTGCCCGAGAAAGCTACACAGACGAAGTCGGGCCTAGAATCCGCTCCTCAGCCCTGCATGAAGACTGATGTCACTCGGCCTGGCCTGGGCAAGCATAACAATGATCGATCCTCCAAACTCCTGAGACTCGCTCTGAGCGATCTCTTGGCCTGTCGAGCAGTGCTCAGGAGGAGTCGGCCTCGAAGGAACCTTCAGCTGAGGTGGACACTCGCTTCTTCCGGGATTAGAGGCATTAACGGAAAAGGGGGAAGAAAAAGTCCCCTTAAACTGTTCATTATGGCGACTTCGGCGGAGATGCAGATAAGGAAAAAGAAAAAAAGAAACCACACTCATACCCCCCCCCAAAAGAACTTAACACCTAGAAATTATGGCTCTCCTCTCGTGGAACCTCAATGGCTTTCACACTCGTCCAGATGAATTAAAGCTGTTAATGTCTCTGTATAGGCCCGTTGTTATCTGTCTGCTGGAAACATCTTCTTCCTGAGCATTGCCTCTCTCTTCGTGGCTTTTGTTGCTACAGGCATTACATTGATTGCCTCCGGGCCCATGGCGGAGTCGCTACATTTGTCACAGACTTCCAGGTTTTCAAAGAAATAGACGTACGAATCACTCTTCCGACATCTTGCGTTCGTGTGAGATTCCGCACTCTGTCGATAACTACTTGCGACTACATCCCGCCTGGACAAGTATCACAAGAGGAACTTGATGTGTTTTGTCAGATGCCCGCTCCTTCTCTTATTGTGGAGGGATTCGCCCACAATCACGCCAGGTGGCACAAGGACCTGCTCGAGTCCGCTCAAAATACTTAATATTATTACTGACAACCAGAACGCAATTCTTCTCAATACTTGCGAAAACACACATTTTCCCGCAGCTTCAAACACTTTCTCGTCCGTTGATCTGGCCCTCTGCAGTCCCTCGCTCTCTACCATCTTTGAGTGGACTGTCTTTGGCGACCTGCATGGCAGTGACCACTTCCCCATTCTCGTCAATTTCGATATTCCCGACCTAAACGATTCCCGCCCTCCTCTACGCTAGCTAACCTACCGAGCTGAGTGGGAAAGATTCGAGAAAGAAATACGGATATCGGAAAACTGCCCAAACGATATCGATGCTATGGTTGCCCATTTTACTGAAGCCGTTATCCCTACGGCTTCAATTATCATTCAGAAGTCGTCGGGTCGCCCATGCCAAGGTGGAATGCCGACTGTGCCACCGCGGTGCGTGATCGGAAGCGGGCAGTCAAAGCTTAGTAGGTTCCCAACCGTGGATAATCTGATAAGTTATAAAAGATCCCTGGCCAGAGCTAGGTTGACCATACCGGAAAGTAAGTCCCCGTTCTGGACAGCTTATATTTCATCACTCTTTTGCCGTATGTCTCCTAAAGTATTGTGGCTCCTAAAGGTTCGACATATCAGTGGAAGACTCCCTTCATCGTCTGTCTCACAACTGCTGGTAAATGGAAATCTTACCTCACCAGAAGATATAGTTGAAAAATTGTCCTCGCACTACGAGCGTATCTCCAGCTCCGTACACTTCTCTCCTGCCTTTCTGACCACCAAAATAATGGAGAACTGCTGATTATATTTCTCTAGTCGCGTGGAGGAAGATTAGCGTACTCTTTTCTCCATGAATGAATGTTCCCTTTGCCCTCGCTTGTGAGAAATGTTCTGCTCCAGAACCAGACCAGATACATAATCAAATACTTAAACACCTACCGGAGAACGCTCCTTTTCTCCTCCGCATTTTGAACCTCATTTGAGTTGAACATCCCATACCAAGATTTGGCGTGAAGCCATTATTCAAATTCCTAAACAAGTACAATCTGGGCAGTCCCGTCAAGTTACTGCCCCATCTCCCTTACAAACGGTGTGTGTAAGCCTTTAGAGCGAATGGTTAACACTCGTCTGCTCTGGCTCCTGGAACAAAGGAACCTATTTACATCGTTTCAATGTGTTTTTAGGAAGCACACGCCGACCATTGAATACTTGCCACACATCTCCACTTCTTCGTATTACACCTGGTAGCAATTCTTTTCGAAATCTATCTCACATTCTTTAGAATGTGTTTGACACCGCCTAGAGGTACGACAGTCCTTGCACCTTACATTCTTGGGGCCTTAGGGGACGGACCTATGTTTCTAGATTTTCTTTTGTCAAAATCTTTCCGGATCCGCCTTGGTGACACGTTATCCTCAAGTCACCAGTTAGAAAACGGTGTTCCCGAGGGATCAATTATGAGTGTCACTGTGTGCCATCGCATCAGTAATACGAGAGTCTGTGAAAGCATCGCTCTTAGTCAACGACATAGCTCTATTCTGCTCCTCAAAGAGCATGCAAGTTATTGAGAGGGAGTTACAGTTTTTCCTCAACAAACTGCAAGAATGGAGTGAAACTGGATTCAAGTTCTCCACCTCAAAATCCAGTTGCATGCTCTGATGCAGAATTCACCACCTCCATAATCAGCCTGGTCCCGACCCTCCGGCTATTGAATATCACACGCGATGCCGGCGTACGGATCAGCGTGGGCGCCTACCGCACGAGTCGCATTGAATGCCTCTCGCCTGAGGCTGGTGAACCATCCCTGAGCCGTAGGCGAGATATTGTAATGGCTCCTATGGTGCGAAAGTATCTGCTATAAATACTCCTTCGCGCCAAGCAGTTCTTTACACGAGTCAGAGGACATCGTACGCACTCAGACCACAGTTACCCCATCCTCCAGCTATCTACACGCTTTTGCAGAAACTCAATATAAAATTCTTCATTCCTGTGAACCCTTCTACCCGAAGTTTTGTTCCCCCATGGAAACTTCTCCGGCCTAAAATACTTCTGAGACTATCAAACTTCCCCAGTAAGTTTCTGGCGGAATTTCTGGAGACAAAATCCATGTATCCCGGCTACAACTTTATATACACTGATGGTTCTTCCCAAAATTGTAAAGGGTGAGCCTTCTACTGCCATAGTGCCACGTGGAATCTTTGAATAGACTGTTCATGTTGCGTTTGTACTTCAGAAAAAATATGTGCTCTTGGAGGCACTTAAAACTCGCTGAATCAATGACAGTAAAAAGGGCAGTGATCTGTAATGATTCAAAAAGCTTGCTCGAATTTATCTCCTGCTTCTCTTGTGACCCTTTGACAATGATCATCCAGCATCCACAAAATCCATCACATATTGGTGTGTAGTTTTTATTTATTTATTTATTTATTTTGTTTGATCACTGGCCATGTTGGGGATAATAGGAAACAAAATTGCTGACCAGGCAGCAATGCGTGCCACAAAGAAAACTTAGGTAGATATCCTCAAAGACCCAACAAATAATACCAAGGTGTTTATCAAATGCTCTAAACTCAGAGCATGACAAACAGAGTGGCAGAACTAGGAGTTTAAGCTCACAAGAACCAAGGATTCCATAAAGACTTGGTCTTCTTCATCCCATGGCTTTGGGCGTGCAGAGATAATTCTGACATGCCTCACTGGCATTTCTCCCACAGACATCTTCTGGTGAACCACCCACCCCCTACTTGTGATAGTTGCGAGACTGATCTTTCTGTACAACATGCTCTCCTGCACTGTTCTAAGGTAAGAGATAGCAGCCAAAGGCATCACCTTGCTAGCTCTGAAGCAGAGGTTCTTGGAAATTATGAATCTTCACTCTGCAAGCTTTCTAATTTCTTTCAAGAGACTGACATTTACAGAATTATCTGAGAGAAGAGGATTATGCCAATTATTTGGATTTTAGTGGGGAATTTTAAAGTGTTGGTCTGGCTCTTTTCTGCCAAACCCTTTTATATGAACACATTTATTTTCAGTTTTACTCACATTTTACTTTGCATTAAAAATAAATGTTTTAGTCTGGCACTGTTATTATTATTATTATTATTATTATTATTATTTTGATTGGCCACATTGGACCACTTGAGTCGTTCCACTTCACTTTTTACTGTTCATGGTCGACTGTCGAAGTTGTGTCACCTTGAGGTGAGGATAAATCCTCGAGTTACAATTCTGAATGTTATTCAGAAAGGTGATAATGAGAGATGGAGGATGATGGATGATAGGGAGTGAAAGGACGAACACAATACAACCATGCCCGAGGCGGGACTCGAACCCGCGATCTTTCGGTAGGAGATCGCTACGGCACTAATTCCCTTAGCGATCTCGGCCACCGGATCGGCTCTGGCACTGTTATAGTATGTACTGCTCTTAAAATAATTTGAAACTGATGCCAGTGACCTTAGCTGTTGAAGTGCCCTTACACCTTAATCATCATCATCATCATCATCATCCCGGTCAGAACGTTTATCCAGATGTCAGTAAATGAGCATTATGTATGAGAATTAAACATCTAGGTTTCATTGATGTTTTAAAATGACTTCTATGTGACACAGTTCAGAATATAGTAATTTTTAAGTTTAGAAGCAACAAACAAATTAAAATCTTATAATCTCCCTGTAATTTTTATAATGAGACAATAGTTTATATTCAAGGAAGGGCACAAAACATTGAAAAACCACCAAATGCAAAATTTATTCTATCGTCTTGTCCAGGTGGTTGTGGACAATAATCCTAAGTTTCAGAGGGCTTTAGAACTTATGAGGTAAAGTAAAACTTCATAAAATCATCTCTCTCCAGATCTGGATATGCATTTCTCAACCCTGTTAGAAGATTCTTGAATTGAACCTTGAAAAGGATTGATTCTGAAAGGAAATAGATTTTGAAGCTTTAAAAGGTAGCTATTTTTATCAATTTTTGTTCTTTGAAGATTATTAAAATATTATGTTTTTTCCAGGAAGAATTGCAATCACCTGAGACAATATTTGTGCAGATGGGGTATGAAACAGAAGAAAGCAATTCAGAGGAAGAGATGGTAAGCCAGCGTGTTTTATTCTACTTTATAGAATGAAGGGAAACACTCTTTAAGTTACGTAAGACACTAATTCACACTGCAAATAAAATGTCAGTGAAGAAATTTGACATTTTTCAGTTTGATCAAGGCATTAAATCAAAACTCAGTTTCAAATGAAACACCAAAATTGAAGCTTATTTATTTTTTCATTAAATATATTGCTGGGATCCAAACTGTTACACGGGGTTCCTTTTTGGAGAAGGGACTCAGTGTAAATATCAGATCTCTACATTTTTCAGGAACCCTTAAAATATAAAATATTAAATTTTATTTTATTGAATGCCTCAGGCAGAAAAGGGACTATTTCCTTTTCAAACATTGAAATTAAGTCTAAGAATTTCAACAGAAAACATACCAATCTTAGTTATGCCCTTTAGTAAAATTGAGTTCAGACAAAGTAATAAATGGAAGAGAAAAATGGTTATAGATTTTTTGTACAGGTTTGGAAGCATCCAAAAATATTTTATATCTGTATCTTTTGAAAATCAGAAGAAAAATGTCTGTGCTAGTTAACAAATGTCTCACCAACTACCAAGTGAGGCAGCTCTTCAGTTCTATTTTTCACACAACTATTAATACAGAAATCACAACAAAATATGTATTTTTTAAAAGATCGGAAAAACATTTCAAAATCAAACTAAAACATTTAATTATCTAAAACTCGATACAAAACTGGAAAGTTCAAGGTTGATGCCTTATTTTCAATGGCTTTCACGGTCAGCATTTCTACTATAAATTAATCATTCATTCAATAAGTACATCCTCAGGGATATATTCACAACTATTAAACTACATAATAAACATATCTGTGCCTTTTGTCACATAGTCTCTGTGACCTGATTTTGGTTTTGCAAAAAGACATAATCACAATATTGTGATCAGATCAGCTTAAAACATAGAAGTCATAGTATTAAAGAGTGTTTAGTAGAAATGCTTCCACTGTGAGAAGAGCTTTTGAAAAATCTGTGCTTCAGTTGTCAGGGTAAACTACTGTTCATCAAATAGTGTTTAGTTAGAAGAGTTTTTAGAATGGGAGTATTTATCAAACTATGTACAGGAGAAGCTTTAGTTAGTTTTAAATTGGCATAACCATACTATTTTAAAACAAATCAAAATTGTACTAATCTCTGAAAGATAGAAAAAGGCTCCTAATATCTCATATGAGCAGGTTTTGATTTTGTAATAAATACAGCAGTACTATAGATTATTGCTGTTGTAATTTTGATACGGATATCAATTGAATGGGTGCATGGAATAAGGATGATCCTTCACCTGCACACTCAGCCATCTTGACTGTCATTACATCCTATTTGCACAGAATGTGATGTACAACTGTTACATCTATTAATAACTGGAGAACTACTGTTACCTATCGGCAAATAGTGTGCCATGGTGTAGAGCATCAATATTATACTTTTATTAGATGTATAATAATAATAATAATAATAATAATAATAATAATAATAATAATAATAATAATCATAGAGAGAGATAGATCGAAGTTATAACTGTTTGTAATATGAAATGAAGTTTGAGTA